ATCTCACCACAGAGTCGATTGCCAGTCATTATAGGGAATGACTACTACCAGCTGCCCAGCCAAGTTGATACCTGACCTTAACTACCACACCACCCCAAATAGGCATGGATAATGAGATTTACAAAACATCACAGAATGGAGGACAATGGCTAGAAGGGCCACATCAAGCAATTCACTGCAGTTGTATATTCCATGAGTATTCATATGCTTGTGAGATTTATGGTTCACATAAACAGTGTTTTTAAGGAGTGTTGTTTGAAATCATTTGAATTGTTCTGGGGTGCCATTTTTCAACTTTCAGAAATTATATTCACCTATGAATGCAATGGCCAAACTTTGTCTCACCTACTTTGGTCATGTTATCAGAAGGGACCAGTTCCTGGAGAAGGATATGATGCTTGGTAAAGTAGTGGGCCAGTGAAAAAGGGTAAGACCCTCAATGAGTTGGATTGACATAGTGGCTTTAACGATGGACTTATGCATAGCAAAGATTGTGAGAGTGTTTCATTCTATGGTACCAGAGTTGGTCAGTATGAGTTGGAGCTGACTTAATGGCACCTGACAACAACAACATTCTCCTATGATGTATAGCCCTCAGATAAATACAGAAATCTCAATTAATTTTATGTATTTTTATTTGAGATATTATTTAACTTTCAGGTCTGAAATCTTCTCTATGTGTTATCAAAATTGTGTCTATCGCAGCTGTTTCGTTGTTGTTATGTGCTGTTGAGTCGGACCCGACTCATAGCAAACCCTCCTTGGGTTTCCGAGGCACTCTTACTATGGAAGTAGATTGCCCCATCTTCCTTCTGAGGAGTGGCTAGTAGGTTTGAATTACCAGGCTTCTGGTTAGCAGTCAGGTGCCTTAGGCACTAAGATACCAGAGCTCCTCTATCACAGCTAGACCTATGCAAAATGGTAAAATAGTTGAGATGATTTTATGAGACCTTAAATGTTAATTAAAAAACAAACTAACAAATTTTTGACCCCAGTTGCTGTGTTTGCCCTCAATAATTATCTGTGCTTGTTTATTTTGAATCTGTAGAGATGTGGTGAATCAGAGGTCTTAGATGAGAAGGAGTCCATATCTTCAGCCTCTCTTGCTGGATCTAGTTTGCCTGTTTTCCAGAATGTTCTCCTGAGGTTTTTAGATACACAGGCCCCTTCATTATGTAAGTAAAGCTCTTTGTTTCAGGATCTTAACTAAGGAATTGATGGTTTTTATGAATTGCTTATTTATTTATTTCTCACAACTTACATGTAAATGTCTTGGCATTGAATATAATGTATACTTAGCAGAATTGTGTGGCTTGTTTTCAGTAGGAGCTTTGGGACAATTTAAATTCAAAGACCATCTTCAAGGTTCAAAAGACTTAAAAATTTCAGAATTTCAGTAATTTCAAAAATTAAAATTATCTCACTCTGTTACAGTATGGGAAACTAGTTTCCCTTTCCAAGAAACCCTGGTAGAGCAACCGTTACATGCTAGCTGGTAAACAATTAACGGTTCAATCTCATCCAGCCGCTGTGCAGGAGAAACACCTGGCAGTCTGTTTTCATAAAGATTACAGCCTAGAAAACCAAATGGGACAATTCTGCTTTGTCACATAGGGTTGTTATTGGTCACAGTTGAGTCAATGGCACCTAAAAAACAACAACTACAACAACAATTTCTCCTTCTAGATCTTTTTTACTCACTGCCATTGAGTCAAATCCTACTCCTAGCAACCCCCACTGGGTTTCCAAGGCTGTAAATCTTTACGGACATAGATCGCCCCATCTTCCTTCTGTGGAGCAGCTGGGAGCTCTGGTCGCATAGTGCCTAAGGCATTTGACTGCTAACCAGAAGATTGGTGGTTCAAACCCACCAGCCACTCCTCAGAAGGAAGATTGGGCAATCTACTTCCATAGTGATACCGCCTCAGAAACCCAAGGAGCGGTTGCTCTGAGTCAAATCAACTTGATGGCAGTGGGTAGATCTTTCTTAGCAAAATAGAGACGCTAAGTTCCCATATGGTTTCATTGTATATTGTGATTCAGAATTGACACTTTGCAATCTACTTTCTAAATTTCTGATTTTCTAAGTTGTGCTCTGACAGTGGAGGGAAAATAAACAAAACTACTTCATAACCAGTGCCTTGATATAAAGGCATACATCATAAAGATTGCTGGCTGCTTTATTGCCCTTTCTTGGATGTCCATGTCTTCTGAAGTTCTTTTTCTGTATTTGGTGGAGAGTTGGGGTCTGGGGAATAAGGAACCACCCAGTGGGTTCTTACTATGGGAGAATACTTCAAAAAAAAAAAAAAAAAATCATTTGTGTGAGCTAAGTAGGCTTTATGTGATATTGAGACTTCCATATGACAAAATCTCAGTACATTTGAGTTGATTGGACTCACAGTGACCCCTCCTTAGGTTTCTGAGGTGCTATCACTACAGAAGTAGATTTTCCAACCTTCGTTTTGAGGAGTGGCTGGTGGGTTTGAACTGCCAGCCTTCTGGTTAGCAGTCAGATACCTTAGGCATTATGCCACCAGAGCTCTCAGCATATCATAGTGCTTAAGGTGTTTTAGTACTAACCAGAAGGCTGGCGGTTCAAACCCACCAGCCACTCCTCAGAAGGAAGATTGGGCAATGTACTTCTATAGTGATACTGCCTTGGAAACCCAAGGAGTGGTTGCTAAGAGTCAGATCTGACTTGACGGCAGTGTGTTTAGTTTTGTTTGTTTATATGACAAAATGCAGCAGGTAAGAGTCTCTGGATATAGATGAAGCAACAGAAGAATGAGCAGCAAAGGGTAATAAAAGTAGTAGAAAAGGCAGGGGGATTGTAATAAGGGGAGAGAGATGTTTGTGGAGAAGAAAGATATAAAGCAGCAAAAGACAGTGCTGTTAGTACACTGGATCCTGTTTCTTGGGTATAGTTGGAAAATTAGAACTTACACATCAGAACCTGAACAAAGCCCTAGTGCCTCATAGTAAACCTTTCAATAAATTTTATGCTTTGTAACAACACAAAAAATATTGATTATGAAAATTAATGTTAAGTCTTAGTGACTTTTTATTTTCTTCCACCATGTCAGTGGAACTGAATTCTTGATTGGATTTGTTTCCTGATAGCGGATCCGAACAGCGAATGTGAAAAGGTAGAGTTTGTGAACCTGGTGCTGTTATTCTGTGAGTTCATCCGCCATGATGTCTTCTCCCACGATGCTTATATGTGCACCCTCATATCTCGAGGGGACTTGTCAGTCACTGCCTCGACACGGCCACGCTCACCAGTAGGAGAAAATATAGACGAACATTATTCAAAGGACCATGATGTGAAAATGGAGGTATGGTCTTGCAGGTGTGCCTAATCCCCTAAGAAGCTAAATTCTGATGTGAATTATTTGGGGGTGTGGGGCAATAGCTTTAAAGTTTTGTTCTCATCACAAAGCTCACTTATCTCTACTCCTCACTCATAAGGGACGTTTAGGTTTTTTTTTAATGTCTTCCAGAATTTTGGTGTTCTTCTTACTGGATGCTGCTGTAACAGAACATATACCACAAATGAGTGGCTTTCACAAATAAGAGTTTATTTTCTTATAGTTTGGGAGGCTAGAAGTCTGAGTTCAAAGTGCTAGGTTCTAGGGGCTAGGTGAAAGCCCCTTGACCTTGGGTTTCAGTTCTGCCTCTTGTTCCTGGCCCACTGAAGTTGGAGGTTTTTCTTCACTCGGACAACTGCTGGCTGTTGAGGCTGACAAACCCAAGGTTGACAAGTAAAAAGGCACCGTCCTGATATTACCAAATCACACAGCAGGCCATTGATTTAAGTCCATTAAGAGTCCCAAGATTTGAAGACGGCATGGTAGGCTGCTGAATAGTGACTCGGCTACATGCAGGATTGAAGTGTGCCGAAAGCTAGAGACTATCCTTAAAGTTGCTTCTTATGTAATGGAAGCAGACCACTTCCCTAAAGCTGCTCACAGTAGATTCCACCATGGAGTTGATTACCAATCTTAACCATGGGGAATAACTACATCCAGCTGCCCAGCCACTCAACCAGGGCCAGCCAAATTGACATATATCCTTAACTACCGCATTTACTTTGGCTTTTATAAACTATTAATGAAAATATTTGGTAGGCCATAAAATTTTTCATTGGATTGGCATTGTATGTTCTGATTTTAGATGTTTCTAGGTTCCATTTTCCCTTGAATGTTTTGCTTCAAAATGGAACTTGTGTTAACCCTAAAGTCCTAGCCGAGTTTTCATTCTAAGGAACATCTTTCTTCCAGTGTATCATTCATTACTTATATCACTCTTTTAAATGTAACATGAAACTGTTTTAGTCATACATCATGTTTTCTTTTTTCTTAATTAATTTTAGCATCTACTTCTTAAATGTTATAGAATTGTTCTTTTGAACAAATTCTTATACGGTGTGAGAGTGACTTTATAATTTTCTGCCAAGTTCTGTTCTGATATTTTGGCCATTGTTCCAGACACTTTGTGAAATTTTCAAGGCAAAAAGGTTAAGGTAGTGATGGGGAAGTGTAGAAAATGGTAAGAAAGTGTGATAATTTCTGAAAAGATAAAGCTGCTTACTAGTTTGGCAAAACATTAAGCATATACTGTTAGGATATTTTAAAAATAGTGGCTGTACTTACAATGAGAAAACATATTACAATTGCAAATATGTGTTCATAATTTATACTCTTAATTCATAATTAATCTTGCACATAATGCAAGATTAATTTTTCTAATTATATTTAAAATATATTAGTGTTTTGGTCTCTCAGTTTGCTGTAATATAATTTAAAGGGCAAAAACTAAGGTTCTTGTACTTGTTAACATTTTTTCTATGTTTTTGCATTTCTTATTTTTGTTTTCTCCTATTCTTAGATTCAAGGTATCATATATCTTGGACTAATCTTAGATTTTTTCTTGTAAAGAATAGTAAATTGGTGAGCATGTGATTGAGAATATGGGTAGTTTAGTTTCAGTCAGGAAGTTTGCATGCTTATCCCTTTAACAGAGAAGTTAAAATTTTCTCATTACAAGGGAAAAGAATGTGTCTTTACACAACAATGCATGTCTTAAAACATCCTTCCATTTCTGACAGGGGAAAAGAAAAAGAAAAATTATACATAGGATGGTTAAAACGACTCTGTCATGTTTTAGCTTCCTTTCTTAATGAACTACAATTTACAATGTGACTTTCTTTCTCTGGCAATTATCAGGAACAGAGTATCATGGCGCATATGGGCATTGACTCAGGAACCACTAACATTTTTGATGAAGTAGACAAGAATGACTTTAAAACTGACTTTGGTTCGGAATTTCCAGTAGGTTCAACCTTCGAATTCTTACTGGCTGTTAACCCCTCAACTTGTCTCCATTTTTCTGTTTCTTGCTCCATGTGTTGGGATGACTTATGTAGTTGTGATAGAAGTTTGACCCTACCACATTTCGCTCAATTCACACAATTACCAGCTTGTTCAAATGTCTCACTTTAGTTCACCCTCAGCTTTGGCTGCATTGTCTCCTTTGTGAAGCCTGTCCTCTTAGTTGACTGTCCTTGGCTATTTTGTTCATTCTGAGATCACCATTTCTCAGGCATATGTGAGTGTAGTTTCATGATGACAGCCCATGTTGTTTTGTTATGTATGTCTTCAGCTTCTACATAATACCCTTCCTGCCCTAGACTTGTTATACATGGTTGTGCCATGTTATACAGAGTCAGCAGGTGGTGCAAATGGTCAATGTGCTCAGCTGCTTAACTAAAAGTTGCAGGTTCAGTTACACCCAGAGGTGCCTCAAAGGAAAAGCAGGCTTTCTTCTTCTGAAAGATTAGCCACTGAAAACTCCATGGAGCATGTGACACATGCGAGGTTTCCCTGAGTTGGAATTAACTTGATAGCAACTGGTTTTACTGTGTTTTATATGGTTTAGTCTAATTAGTTTGTGTTCTTCCTCGTGAATCTCAATGTATAACTTCTTATAAAAAACATACTTTTTGTGGTATAGGCTAAAACCTTTATGCCTGTTGTTCATTAGTTTTGTCAGTTATTTCTCTGTCTGTGTTTCTGTTAGCAGTGTTGCCCTATGAGGAGAACACTGACCTTGGTGTCTGATTTTCTCTCTGGTCCTCAGAGTAGTTATAGCTTTGCACATTTGCTATGTGTGTTGTCATTTTCTCATCTTCAGAATGAGGATGGTGTTGACAGATTTCTTCTAGTTTGAACACAACATTTGTGGAAATTAAAATGTCTATAGATTTTTTTTTGTTCAGTGTTTAAATAAGGAAAGGTATGCTGCATGAGTATTTTAAGCATTTGAAGTTAAGGTATGTAGCACTGCAGTTTGCTTTTGTTCCCTTTCATTTATAATCTTCAAAATTTATTTTACATGACTTAGATTTTCTCTCCCATTGCTGGAGAGTCCTGTGAGAATGCCAACCCTTCTTTGGGAAGAAGAATGTCGGTTAATGGTGAGAAGCTGATGAAGAGGGAGAAGCCACGGGAGATAATTTTTCCATCTAATTATGACCTCCTCCGTCACTTGCAATATGCAACCCATTTCCCTATACCTCTGGTAAGTCATTGCTTCTTTCAGTTGAGACCCTGATTATTTTGTTACAGGATCATTAATGGTTGAATATCATATTATTCAACAGTTGGCCTGACTAATACATCGGATAGCAGATGAGATTTTGTAATTGCTCCTTTTGCTATGATTCTGATAATTTAGTTTATGTACTGATAAAATCCAATTGGAACTAGAGAAGTGACTTAGTGATGTGATATTTATTGTCTTGCTAGATTGAAGGGAATTTTCTGTGTGGGAATCTCTTAATCAAGAGCACTTGTGACACTGCAAATGAGGTCCAAATGTCATTTTCGTACTACAGTTTCAAAGTTATTTACTGGGTGGCTTTTATGCTCTGTATTGTGGTAGGGACTTTTGATATTATATAGATGAGTAAGGAATTTCAGGGGATAGGAAAGATGAATAAGATAAGAGAGAGACAAATATCAGTAAAATGACGAGCAATCAAGTAAGTGCAGCAATTGAGTAAAAACCCAACTGTTCCTGGAAGCTGAATCATTTGATGTTCATGGGTCCCCTTGGCTTAGCTTGTTGCCTGGCACAAGGTAAGCATGGAAGAATGATTATTGGAGGGAGAAAGAGCATCTGGTTGAGAAATAGGGTAAGACATCATGGCAGTGGTTGTACTTGGAATGGGCTTGAATTTGGACCTTTTGAACTTATGAACTGGCACATGGAAAATGCTTGGCAGAAAATTTCGTATTTGAGTCCTAACAGAGTGATGTGCTTTCTTCTAAAGGGAAGAAAGGTTAGTTTTTTGATATTAATAATAAAAAATCATGCCAAAAACATTTTTATTCTTGGGTTCACTAACTTTTTTCCTGGAATTTAATTTTAAGTGCAGTTTCAGTGAATTTTTTTTTTTTTTTTTTTTTTTAATGGAATGCTGCTTTTATGTATCACAAATATGATTGTGAGGGATATTATGTTATTTACTTCCTGGAGGTCTTTGATCTGCAACTTAAATATTTTGTTAATTTCTTTTAGGGTATTTCAGAAAACCCTCCAAACCATTTCAAAATCACTTAACTCATACTTTTTTTCAGCCCCTTTTTTGTTATTCCTGTATTCAGGGCTATCTCAAAATCATCTCAAAAATTGCCAGAATTCTGTCTTGTTCATCACTAGCTACATCAGAAGTTTTTAAATGTTTCTGATGACTAGGTCTTGTGGTGAATTATGACATAATTTGAGTGTAGTGGAATCATGAAAGAACGGCTAGACAATTGACATTGTAAGATGCCATTTTTAAAATAGCTTTCTATGCCCCCGTCTACTTTAGGTGAGTATAATCTAGAGTAAACCATTCATAAGGGGAGTAAGGTGATAACTGATATAACATTGATATTAGGAATGCTGTAGAGCTCCGACTCTTGTTTGTTTTGAAAGGAGAAATTTTTACTAACCTAACATGCATATGATGAGAATATGGTCAAGAACAAATGCTTCCTCCCCTCCCCCTGTCCCTAAGATGTATCCCAGGTCATGGAGATAGAACTTGACCAAAGGATTCAGAAAAATAAACAAGCTTCACGTATACTGCTATGTGAACAATGCCTTGATCTGCCCATCAGTAAAGCATGTTAGTTAGAACACCAACAAGCAATGATTCTAGGATATAGGCATTCTGTCAGCCTATAGGTTAGGTTAAATCATTTATACTCTGTGGTCAGATATGTAATGTTACTACTCAGTGCTGATGAAGGTCTCTACTGTCACTATTGACTAGAATTTGTCCAGCATTTAACATGTTTTAGGTTTTGTAATGGGAACTTTGTACATTTTACCATTTATTCTCTATGGTCTCAGAATATATTTGTAAAACTGAAGGCAAAATTTTCTTGCATTAAAGCTAAAGAAAATAATTCTGTTCAATGCAGAGCTGAAAATGAGTTTGGAATTGAGTATGTTTTCTTAGATCTAGTAACAACATTTCTTAATTATGGCAGTTTCTGTGAATATATTATTAATTGTTTGAATACAGGCTTTTACTAATGAAGTTAAAATTTAAAAATTACAAGTACAAGGTGTCATGTATGCTTACTTAAATTTTTCAAGCCTTCTTTTTCTAGTAAGTCTTTTATTTTATATCATCTAGTGAAAACCCTAGAAGCTCTGGTGGCATACTGCCTAAGGCACTTGGCTGCTAACCAGAAGGTTGGTGGTTCAAACCCACCAGCCACTCCTCGGAAGGAAGGTTGGGCAATCTATTTCCGTAGTGTTACTGTCTCGGAAACCTAAGGAGGGGTCACTATGAGTCAGGTCTGACTCCACGGCATGTAACAACAGCAACAACAACAACAGTGGACCCAACACACGCTGCTTTTCTAACATGGCCTAGCTATGTGGAATCGGTGTGTCTGTTTTAAGACCTCTGACTGGTACTTTTTTTTGTACCTGTGGAGTAAATTTCAATAATAATTTCAGTAGTTAGCATAATGTAAAAACTTCTCCTGAAAATGTTACAAGGCCATCTGTTTCATACATAATTAGCAGCCACCAGATTTATCATTACCAATAGAAGAGAAAGAGTCTCTGGGTGGTGCAAATGGTTAAATGGTTGACTGCTAGCTGAAAAGTTGGTGCTTTGAACCCACCCAGAAGCACCTTGGAGGATGCCTGGAGATCTGCTTCTGAAAAGTCACAGTCTTGAAAACTCTGTGGAGCAGTTCTACTCTGTGCACATGGTGTCGCCAAGAGTCAGAATTGACTTGATAACAACTAACAACAACAGCTACTAGAAAACTTTTATTTTTAACCTACAGAGAAGATATGTAATAAATTAAAAGCCATCTATATATTTCCAATTCTTTTTATAAATAAAAGTCGTTAGTTGTTGTGTTAAGAAAAAGAATAGATGTTAAACATTAGAACAGTAAGCCAGAAGGTTACCATCCTTGAAGTGATGGATTAAAATTAAACACAGATTAATAGATTTTCATATTGAAATCAACTAGTTTTATTTTTATTATTATTAAATAAAGTGATTCAAAAGCATTTAAAGTTATGTGCTCAAGGACTTTCTGGCAACTTCCAATAGAGATCGTTTTGCATAATATTATCAAAAAGGTATTTTCAGGCATTAAAATGAATCGTTTCAATGAGTCTGTGTTACAGATCTCATTTGGATTTCGAGACTATTACAGGTTTTTAAATTGGTTCAACAAGATACTTATTCAGATATTTGGGTTAGGAGCATCAACAACCACAAAAGTACAGGCTGGTTTTGCATTTAGAAACCAAGTTTCTAAATACACCAGGCCACATTTGCTAGCTATCTGCATTTCTATTTATTGAGTTTTTTTTTTTTCCTCCATACCAGTAATTTCAAACTTATTGTCAAGAAATGATAACATGGAAAATTCCGTATTTTATGTATTGTTTTCATATCTTGAATTTTCTTTTTGAGTCCTGGTCCCCTTATGTGAGGTAAATGTCTTAGTGATCTTTAAGCGGAATGCTTTTGAGAGGTGATAGTACAAGATGGGATCGAAACACAAGTTTGACACAGCTAGAAGCAGTGTGGCTTCCTTGGCTTTGAAGAGTGAATTCCTGGTTGAGCAGTCGGATATAACTTCTGTCTGGCTGAGGGTGTATGGGATTCGGACAATGTGGTAAGGAACAAAACATATGATATACCCTGCAGTCACTAAAAGTATGTTGGTAAGAGCCCTTTTCACATTTGTATAATTTTCATTATCTTTGTTTCTGTAGAGTTGTCGAATTACAAGGCAGTTGGATATTAAAATAATGGCTGAGAAATTTAAAAATATTGCTATACATAGGAAATTTGTTAGCAAGTGCCAGTTTTTCCCAAACTCTGTTTTGAAGTCCATACAGCCCACATTTGACTTTTCCTTGATGTCTTTGATGGGAATCATCATGTTCGGCACCATTATAAGAAGGACCATTAGCCACACGACAGTTGATATCATTTTGGCAAATCCAGGTTCTTGTATTCGATAAATTTTGCAGCTGTGTATCAACTGAAGATAGCGATCAATGCTGACAAATGCCAAGAAGATAATTGATAAGTACATATTAATATAGATGAGGCAGGCTGTTACTTGACAGTGGAATATCCTCATCTTCCAGGGTGCCACGCCCAAGTCGACAACAATTTTCACTGGTAATGCCAGAGTAAGCAGGAAATCGGCTGTAAGCAAATTAATTAAGTATATGCTTACACACCTATGATTTGTGTTTTTCTGTGTGAATGCCCAGACTGCAAAACAGCTTCCAATAATTCCAGCAAGGAAAACCAAGTAAAAAAAGTAGGTGAATGGTTCCAGATTTCTGTAAACTGTGCAGGAGAAGGAGCTGTTTGTCATCTTGAGGGAAATCTGTCAGTAAAAAAATGTAAAGAATTTGCTTAAGAAAAAATGGAGGATGGGAGATTAGTAATTAAAATTAGAAATGATTTTAAACACATTCCCATTCATAATACCATGGTCTGTATTTCTGGGTTCTTCTAGATCTTACATTGAATTTTATTGGTAAATTTACCAGACTGTGAGCACATCCTAGAATATGAGGAAGTTTGGGTTTTCCGTTGTCTGATTTTGTGACTTTCAGGAAATCCCAAATGGGTTTACTTCTAGAAGGGGTATTTTTGACAACACGCATTTGTAGTTTGATACCGTGTGTGTGTGTGTTTCCAGTTGGGTTGGAAGGTTTGGCGAAATAACTGAAGTTCTGAGAAGTGGCAAGCAAAGTGGGTTAGTAACATGGTTTGGTTGTGGCTGAGCCTCTTCAAAGAGCTGTCAATGAGTCTTTCTGGCTTTCTTTTTCCATGTATTCATAGAAATTCTGCTGTAATTTTCTAAGCTCAGAAGGGAACAAAGGGGTAACAGGGAATTTTCTTAAAATTAAAAGTTATTTAAAAAGTAGGCCCTTTATTGTGCAATTTAGTTGAACATTTTTGCAAATAAAATTTTCCCTTTTTAGCAAAAAGAGTTAGAACATTCAGATCTAGTCTTGAACTGGTGCTTATGATCTGCCTTTTCATTGTCTCCCTCCAGTTTCATAGTGTTAGAGACCAGTGTGGTCGTGTGGTCGTCTGTAGCCACAAATGGTTATTAAGCCTCTTCAGTGTGTCTAGTCCAAAGTGAAATGTAGTATAAATGCGAAATATATGCCAGATAGTGAAAATTTAGTACAAAATATTATCAAAAATTGTATGGTAGATAGCTATACAAATAGAAAAAATTAGTAATATATTTTATTAACATTTCATATATTGAGTACATGTTGAAGTGATATTTCATATTAGGTTAAGTTTGCTATTAAAATGAATTTCTGTTGTTTCTTTTTACTTTTAAAATACAGCTACTAGACCATTTTTGTGACCATTTTATGTGGCTTGCATAGTATGTCTGTTGGACAGTGCTGATACGGATTTTTTTTTTTCATGTTAGTATTTTTGAGTAGTTTAACCAAAGGTATACTTTAAAGGCTTTTAGAACATTTTTGATCAAAACCAAAAAACAAACTTAGGGCCGTCAAGTCGGATCCCACTCATAGCGACTCCTCCTTGAGTTTCCAAGGCAGTATCTCTTTCGAAGTAGATTGCCCAACCTTCCTTCTGAGGAGTGGCTGGTGGGTTTGAACAGCCAGCCTTCTGGTTAGCAGTCAAATGCCTTAGGCACTACACCACCAGAACTCCATCAGTTGTAAAATTCTCAAAATAGAAGTTCAGTTATCTTAGTTTCAAAACGTCTACTGTTAGCAATCTGAGTGTTTTTTTCTTTATTGTTTCCATTGTGGATTTTGGGACTGTTAAAAGCTCAGAAGTGTAAGAAATTATCTTGGACCCATTGTGATTGACATTGATAATGAAAATAAAATCTTCTCATATCCCCTCCATGTGTTGAATAGTTGGTAAGATCATAAGTTCAAATTCAACTAATTTGACTCCTTGGGTCCAGTTAAACTCACACTGTAAGGGACACAGGTTCTTGTTCCTGGTTTTGCTTTTGGTATGCACCCTCCTTCTGCATATTAAATAACTTTCTTTTTCTTAGAGACCAGATGACTATTTTTGTATTTGATCAGGAAAAAGAAAATTGATCTATAGCTTTTTACAAAATAGCAAATAATAATAATATAGTGGCTGCCTTAGTAGACCAAATAGGCCATTCTCAGAAAGCTTCCTTTCATCTTTTTTTTTTTTTTTTAAACTTCAGAGCCTTTCTAAATTTTAGGTCTCTGAACTGTTTATCCACTGTATGCACCTTGAGATGAAACCACATATGCAGACAACTTAATAAGGCAGAACATAAAACTTTTAAATTTAATTTATTTTAAAAAAATTAAACTCATTTAAAGGGTATGTACCCTCCCCTTTCCCTACCTATTTTAGGACTTCGGGGTCTGTGAATAATGTCATTCTGTACTAAAATGAATAAAAATAATTGAGCACACTTTGTGTCTCGTACTGTGTTATGTACTGTATATATTCTTTCTTAACCTCTCATCATTCCTGTGAAGTAGATGTTAATGTCATCCCTGTTTTACAGATGAAAAAACTGATGCACAACACATTTAAGAATTGTCCAAGGATATATAGCTGGTAAATTTCAGAGCCAGGATTCCAACCCAGAGAATCTCATTACTTAGAAACCACGTTCAAAACCACTCCAAAGTATTGTTTCAGTAGTACTGATGATGATGATGGTAATGTTGATAATAATTATAGCAGCTAATTTTTACTACATACTTCTTTGTTACAGGAATCATGTTCTAAGCAATTTTCATTTAAAGGAGATGAACTTAAAAAAAAAAAAAACATTATTAATTTTTTCCTAAATACTAGTAAAAGAAATTTAGCTTTAATTTATTTTGCTGTCTCAGTTTATAATATATATTTATAAGTCAAACCTAGGTCCTATCATAGAGGTAAGCCTGCTTTACTTGCACCATTCCCTATGGCCTTCCCTAGCATTCCCATTGCCTTTTTTTAAAAAAATAATAATGTGTTTTTGGTGAAGAATTACACAGTAGTTTAGGTTCCCATTCAACAGTTTCTAACAGAAGTTGTTCAGTGGCATTAGTTACATTCTCCCATTATCTCTTAATTCCAATTCTACTTTAGATTGGTGGGATCTCTTTACTGTTCTATGGACAGTTCCTTTCTGTCTCTTTTTTTTGTATTTTGTTTGTGGTACAATTTTAGGATCATAGCACTTTAAGGATAGATGGAATCTCTGTTAATAGCATCTAGTCTAATATTCAGTTCATTGGTGAGACTGAAGACTGGTACTTATGTGTTGCCCAAGATTTTACAGCTGTTGGAGCAGAACTAGGATCTGATCTTGTAAATCATTTCTTAGGCTTTTTCCCTGTACCTGAATCCTACCCATCCTGTGGGCCTGAAGAAAGCTCTTCTTGTCTGAAGTCTGTTGTAGACTTCACTGACATCCTTATGATTCTGATTTTTGATAGTTGACTATCTGTACCTTGGAATTTTTAATGCACTTTCCCCCCTCCCCACATCAAAGAACTAGTTTCATTGTACTTTGATCTTGTGTCCCACTTCTGTTCATTATTTCTTTATAAGGTGCTAAGATTTTGGGTTATGCTCATGTATTACAAATGTTATGTACTAATAGGTTTCTTTTTGCACTCCTTTTCATCATCAGTTACATAATAGAGTCCCATTTTATCAATGAATAATGGTAAACAGAAGGATTAAAGAATAATATTTTAATCAATTAATATTCTCAGTAACTAGAACTGTATACTACACCTCGGTAACTTATTTAAAAATAGTTACAGTGTAACAATATTTATTCAGTAATGCTTGAGAATCTTGTAGCACCTTATTACTGCTTTCATGAACCTCAGTTTAGATTGTGATTGAAAACAAATTTGCTTATTTAAAGTTTCTGGTTTATTGATTAGCAGTTAAATTGTTTTCTGACAATATCCTATATTCTCTATCAAAAATTTGAGAACTAAATGCTTGATAAATATTTTATCAAGTGGTTATTAACCAGTGGTAATTTGAGGTACTTGGAGGTACCCCAGAAGAATCAAGAAAATATTTCAAATTTATCACCTTAGTGCCTGTTGCTTAGAACATAATAAATTCTCTGGCTTTTCTTCTGTAAGTCACAGTGGAATTTTCTTGAAATTACCCATCATAGTTATTGTAGAGAAAAGTCATTTTAAAGACCTGTTGTGCCCTGTTATAAGACCTACAACATGGCCTTTATCCATTCAGTTACAAAACTGAGTTGAGTTACTGAGTAAAGTTATGCTCAGTATTCAGCCTGGTGTGAATTAAGCTATTTTTTTTGAGAGAGATAGATGGGATCATCAGATAGAAGAAAATGATAGTGGAGCTCATAGCTAGGATCGATTTAGGTTTTAATAATTAGTGCCCTCTTTAACATTAGTGTAGTTACATGTTGACATTTTGCATTTACATGGTTTAAACACTGAAAATCATAGATTTCTCTTCTATGGAAAGACATTTCAATATAGGAAGTATTTAAAAGGACATACCTGGGTTTATTTTCTGGGAGCCTCAGCAGACCTAGCTCCAAATCTTCAGAAAAGCATGAGCTGTTGGGTTAGTCCACAGCAGTAGCAGCCCCATTGCAAGGCTGTGGTTTAAAAAGGTTGCATATTGACGTAGATGAAACTGTGGTTTGCAGATAGTTTTAAATGTATGAAAGTCTCCTAAGGAAGTTCTTTGAAATCTTAAGTATGTTTTCTTTAAAAAGTCAGATTTGCCAAAGTTTTTCAGAGGAAAAAATTTCATTTGTGCATTGTTGAACCTAACCTTTTTCCTTAAGTGTTGAAGATACAGTCTTTGTCATAATGATTTCAAGAAAATCAGTGTTTGTGCCTTGAAAGAGATTAATGATTTAAAGCTGTAAGGTATCTTCTAAAGGTATGTAAGATATAAGACAAATACTTATAGTACTGACACTCATCAGCATTGTGAAGCTATAGTTTAAGAATTACTGAAGTTTGTATCCCTAGTAAGATGTCTGCTAACAAACAAAATGATGTGATTTAATGGAATCTGATAAAGTGTAGTTTTTATTCATCTTTATTCTTCTTTGTTCATTGTAGAAAAGTCTGGAAATAGAAATAGAAGAGGGTGATACCCATTATGCAGAGATAATTAATGTTAATATGTTTTAAAGTGTTTTTCTAAACAGGTGTAAACCCACTTAAAAGTGTTATTATATTCATATTGCTTTATAATTTTTTTTTAAACTCAAGAACACATTGCATCTGTCTTTTCTAGTTATGAAATTTGTTGTTTTGTCAAGTCACTTTTGACTAATAGCGACCCCACATGACAGAGTGGAGCTGG